AGATTAATATGTATCAAAAATTTCAATTTTTTAAAAAATGTCTCAGAACCCCATTTTCCTAGCAAACTTCCCATATGTCTTTAGTTTCTATTCACATGATAAGTGAGTCTGTATTTGTATAAAGTAGATGGGCCTTATCTCTATAGCGAGACTTTATGTAATCGTACCAAAAGTTGAACATCATAGCCTTGCTAATGTCAAGAATTGTCTGCCTTACATAGATTGGTTTGTTTAGAGTTACTGTGCTTTTTAACATATGGACTGCTGTTATTTCCCTTTCAAATGCTTTAAAGCCTACATACAATAGTGAACTTGCTAGGCACCTGATTTTTTTATCCTCTTCTGTTTGAAGCAATTCTACTCTCATATATTTACGGACATTTTCCATCTGTTTACCAAATACTGCATTGTTCTTTAGCTTATAATACATGACTCCAAATTCATCCCTATTTGCCTTGGCTATTTTGCATTTACGAATATTTTTCTCAATATATTCCTTCATCTATGGAGACTGCCTAAACTTGAGAGCGCTATGAATCTTTGTAACCTTCATTTCAAACTTCATATATGTCTGAAGAGCTCAGTAGTGAACTACATAATTCTTCTTAGTAAAAAGGGTTTGAACTAACTTCTCTCTGGATCAGGGATGATGATTTTCTGCATAATGCGGAATGCTGCAGAAATCGCGTAATATATGTTTTAATACAAAATATATTAAATATGACAAAAAATATTACGGAATCAGTGATAAAATAAGTTTTAATAGTAATCACATGACTTTTATAATATTGATGCGATAAAAATTGATTAATCTTTTTTTTTGAAGATCGATGTTTTTTTATCGTCATTTACAAATTTTTTTTTATAATGCCTAAAAGAAGAAGTCCAAAAAAAATTACAATTAATTCTAGAGTAGAAGAAAACCCAAGTGAATTTTGTGTTAATAATGGAATATTGTTTTGTAATTTTTGTGACCATTCTGTTGACTGGGTGTGAGTCAAAAATTAATGACCATCTTAATAGTTTAACACACAAAAATAATAAAAATCTATATGAAAATATACAACGTCAGCATCAGCAAACTCTTACTACTTCCTTTGCTTCCTTAAAATCAAAAAAAAATATGATTCATGATTTAGTTACAGTTTTTGTTATAGCAGATATTCCATTAGAGAAGATTAATTCCATGCTTAGTTTTTTTAAAAAATATTGTAAAGAAGGTGGGGCTATTCCACAAGCAGCAACATTACGCCAATTATATATACCTCGCGTTTTTTCTTTACATTTAGAAACTCTAAAAAACCTTTTTTGTCAAAAACATGTTTCTATTATAATGGATGAAACTACTGATGCTTGTCAAAGAAGTGTAGTTAATACTCTTTTTGTATATAGAAAAGACACAAAATTAGTTTCTGTAGACTTTCTTGCATGTGTAAATAATGTAACTATGGGTCAAACCTTTATTAGTATTCTTTCTAAATATGATATTTCAATTACTTCTCCTCGTTTATTTCTTACAGATTCAGCTGCATATATGATAAAATATTATCGTGAAATTTTACATCCTATTATGCCACAATTAATTCACATTCCCTGCTGTGCACATATTTTAAATTTAATTGGATAAATTTTAATTTTATTATATATTAAATTATTTAATGAATTACTTAATTATTAATAATAAAAATATATTTTTTAGTGACACTTGGCGTACATTTAATCATTTTTCAGTTGTTAAAAAATTATTAGAAAAAGTCAAAAAAAACATTTACTAGAAGTCCAGCACATCGTCATCGATATATTGAACACTTAAAATTTCATGGAATTAATTAACCAAGAAAAATCCCTCTTCCTTGTAAAACATAATGGAATTCTTGGTTTGAAATGGTTAATTATACAAAAGATCATCTTGTATATTGGCCTGAATTTTTTCAAAATGAAATTGCATTTGATGAAACTCCAACATTGAAAACTATTATGATTCTTCTTTCTAATACACACTTTGGACATATTATAAATCTATATCACTTTTATTTCTTATTTTTCTTATCAATTTGTTCAAACTTTGGATTTTTTTCAATAACAAGAAAAGCCGATATTTCCTTTTGTTGAAAATCAATTACAAATCCTTTCAGCATATATAGAGATTAATATGGTTGCATCAAGTTTTGGAACTAATTTAGATAAGGCAAGTGATTTTTATCCTATTTTCTAACAAGCATTTAATGTGATATATGAAAAATTTGAAAACATATTTCTTCTTATCCTGGGTATCCTCTTTTTCGTGCTTGTCAAATGTTCAATCCAAAATTTGTTCATCTTGGTGATATTACATGAAAAGATATATGTCAATACGATATAATTGCAGAATTGAATAATTCATCTAATAATTTATTAGATGAATGGGCAATTTATTGTGAATCAACAATTGACGTGGGGATCTCATTAGATGAATACTGGTTAAATATGGCCGAATATTTACCACTTTTATCTCAAATAGCATTAGACTACATATAGTTACCCATTTCTTCTTGTAGTTTAGAACAAAGTTTTTCTAAATACAATTCAATTTTAGATGATAATCGGCAAAATTTATCTGAAGATCCTTTACGCAGTTTAAATATGCTTTATTTTAATGGGAACATATAAAATTTTATTTTGTAATAAAATATATTTGTAAAAATTATAATAAAGCTCCGCAGAAATTTGCAGAATTTATAAATTTATAATAAAAGTCATGAAGATTATTTTATATTTTAATGTGCAGAATAAATACGGAATTTATTTTTAATAAAAACGGAATCAGTGTTTTATCACCGAATAAAATCATCGTCCCTGGTTCAGGTCAGTCAGATGTATATTTAATTCAGGTCAATTTATGTCTGACCCGACCTGACCTTATCAGGACGGGTCAAGTCAATTACCCGACCCGACCTGTTCGGAGCTCAACCTTTTGAAATTAATTCTATATTTTCAAATTTTTAAAAATTTTTAGTAAAATAAAAATATAATTAACGAATTACAGAATTATAGTTATTAGAAGTAATTTTCATCTTTTTATTATTGCTAATAGAAAATATTTTTTTTACAACCCCTGCAATAATTATTAAAATTTATTTTTTTCACAAGTTAGTGTAAAAAAATTTACAAATGTTAATTAGATTTGGACAACCTAAATTTAATTATAAAGAAGTTTTTATTTTGATTGGATAAAAAAATTTTTTTGGAATTAATTAAAATTTTTTTTTTGCATCATGAATTTGTTATTGAAATAAAATTAGATTGTATGATAAACGGCGCAGAAATAAATGTGATATCAAGGTTAAATAATTTATTACATAATTATTATAAAAAATTTATAAAAAATACGGTGAATGTTTACTTTGGTTGTAGATTTGAGAAAGTTGAAGTTAGACATTCCGAATTATCGTAATAAAAGGAAGGCAAATTCTGGAGTCGGCTCAGTCAGCCGCTAGACATTTTTCAGTCTACTCCGTCTACTCCATCTACTGAGTCACGACTCTCATTTGAAATTAGCGACCATTAATTGTATTAATATTTTAATATTTCAACAAAAATTTTATAATTCATTAATTTGGATTTTAATCGTACATGATAAGAATTAATCGAAATTCATTTGCAAGAATTAAATAAAGAGATTTAATATAATAAGATAGAAAATGTTTCTAAAAAAACTAATTGATGTATAGAACAATAAATAATATTCATTTTAACAGTTGAGTTCTGAAAATTATAATGATAGATGCAATTTATTTCTGACTAGTACACTTTATAATAGCTATTTTATTTAATTTTTAAAATTCATTTAGTAAACTTCATTTGTAATTTATAATTTTTGAAGTTTAGGCAGTTAATAAAGAAACTCCAGAAGAAATTGAAGTGCCTAATAAAAGAAGGACACCGATATAACCAAAAGCGCCTCTCAATCTTTGCTTTGGATTACCGGAATAATAACCCCAGGCATAAATCAAACGACCTATTATCACAAAAGAAAGAAAAAAGAGAGTTGAGATAAGTTCTTCAAAGTAAATGATTATAAAAGTAATTTAAGTTACCAAAAAGCCAAATTCCACCACCAATTGAAGAAAGGACTGGATGATTAATTCCACCAGCAAGAAGTCTAATAAAAAAAGAAAAGAAAAGTTGTTATTTTACGAATATTAATATCGCTTAAGAAATCTTTTAACGAATTATAAATATTTATTATACATACGTGAAAAGAAAAGCTGGATAAACTTCCAAAGTATTCTGAAAATAAAAAAATAAAATTATTAGACTCCAACTTAATGATTTTGAAATTAACCCATTATTATTTTTTTTTTTTTAATATTAATTTACCTGATGAGCTCTTTGATAACAATTGAAGATCATTTTCTTTTCATCTTTTTCACATTCTTCTTTTGATGCATAAGCTTTTATTATTTTTTAAAAGGAAAAAATTAATCAAAATTAAGTTCACGTTATATTTATTTTGAAGAAATAAGGTTAAAACATACCATGAGGATAAGGAACACCTGCATTTCTACGTGCTCCTCCTACTTTGAAGCCAAGGTAAGTTGTTAAAATTACCGAAGCAACTCCAGTTAAAACAACCTTAAATTTTTAATTTAAACAAGTATTTTAACAAACGAGTAATAAAAAAACCAAGAAAAGATACATGTATATTAAAAGAAATTAATACTTACATATCCAAAATCTTTTGTGAGTTCAATGAGGACCATCGTTTATTATGTTTAATAAAAATTTAAATTGTAAAAGAATTATTTTTTTTTATTTTTCTTAAAAAAAATAGCAGGGATATGATAAAAAGTAGATGTGTTTAAAGAATCAATTTTTGTGATCACAATAGGAAATCTAAGGCGAAATTTACTTCTATTTATATATTCTTCAATGAATAATTAGTAATCAAATGACAGGAAAATTTTCTCCTTGTAGTATTACATTTTCTCACAAGTCTTACAAATCAAAATTTCTTTTCTAGAAACTTTATCTGAAAGATACGTAAACCTTCATGTATTGGTTCGTTCGTTGAAACCACGAAATTTTCTTCGGACATCGGTCCGAAAATTTTCCGATTGGTTTGACAAATATCAATAAATCGATAATTTTTACCGCGATTCCGATTTTTTATACATTAACGTTAATATCAAAAAAAAATTTTTTTTTATTGTTAAAATTTGAAATTTAATAAATATAATCAATCTTTTTGAATATTTTATTATCACCTCCCTCTATTACCACCGTGACCACGCGGATTTCCACCACGATTTCCACCTCGATAATAAGCATTCTCGCCACGACTTCCCCCTCTTCCCTGTATTTTCACTCTTCTTTCAACAACTCTCTTGGGAATATTATCAAGTTTTTCCATAACTTCTTTAACATCATTTTCATTACATTCATTAATATCATGAGGTTTAACGATCAAAATTCTTTCAAAACCTTCATTATAATCAGGAGATTTGTAAATCTGTTTAAAATTTTCTAAAATTTCTAACCCTTTTCTACCCTGTACATTCGTGGGATGGTTTTCTCTACTCAAAATCCGTTTTTCGCAAATTTCATATGGTGTATCCATTATTATTGCATCTATTGTTAAATTGAATTGAATTGCTAAATCTACCCATGTTTTACGTTGTCGTTTGTCAAAATTACATCTGTCCACTATTACATTTTTTCTCTGTTATAGAAAAAAATGTTAGAATACGGAATGGAAAGAGAATACAGTAATAAAGTGAATGATACCTTATTGATTTGAAGTTTTGAAACGCTTTCGCATGCTCTTCGACTTCCTAAATCATCTTGATTTACTCTAAACCAATTCTACAAAAATGAAAAATAAACTCAAATTATTTTTGCTTAAATAAATCAAATTAATCAATAACAATCTTTAATAAATGACAATATTTACGTTGTCAACTTTACATAATTCTTTAGAAAAGGTTGATTTACCAGATCCTGGCACTCCGACACAAACCAAAATTCTTTGTTTCGGTTCATCATTCTTTGGTGGTGTATCATTGACCAAATCATCATTTATTTTTAAATTAACATTTATAGATTCGATTAATGATTCAGGATCTATATTTGATTTTAATTCATTAACTATTGTTGAATTCTGATTGAAATTATCATTCATAATTTTGATTGTTAAATCGGAGTAAACGAAAAAAATGTATCTTTCTGTCTTCAAGTTCTTTTATATTTTTTAGTGTAACATGTGATCTTTTTTGGGGGGTACGTTTTTATAAAATCACTGCGGATAATAACCACTTTAAATATTGTTATCATATTTCAAGTAATATTGTATAACACAATTACCTAGAAAAGAAGGGAATCAATGAACGATGATCGTTTTTTTTTTGCGACCGATATCGGGTATGAAGAGAAATGGGATTTTTATTCCGAAATTACTTGTTTTTGACTTGATTCGTTTCTTTCGTCATTTTCCTGCATGGAACATCAAAACATTACACCAATGATTGAAAAATGACTTTAGTGATGATATATCACGTGTCGTTGTGCATCAAATACTGCATATTGCGGATTGCATTTTACAACAACGCCTTCCTTATGTTTTGTTACCTTAATAATTAAATCATTGAACAATCGGGTGGAGCAAAACGCGAATTTCTCTTTGACAATTGCAATTTTTGGTAAATGTAGTGTAGACGGCAATATATGTTCTTTGTGGATTCCTAGTTTATCGTTAACAAGTACTAATCTTAATAGAAGTGTAGTATATTTATGTATTATTTCCCAACTTGGTCACTAGCAATTGCAGTGTCCCATCGGGACAACATTTTTTGTGCAGTAGTATTTTCTTTCATCGTTTGCTCTTTTTGTAATAATATTTAACATTGTTTTACTGAACACACACTCCATACTCGTTTTTTTTTTGATTTGTTATTTATAAAATGTGAGGGCTTACAAATCAAAGAATAAAGTAAAATTTATAGATATTATAAAAGAATCAGCTTACTAAAATATATATTTTACTTAAAGATTTATTAGTGTATCACTAAAACATGCTTGAACATTGGATTGCATTATATCATTCTAATAAATGTTTAATCATTTTTTTTCTAGATTCTTTATTTTTTTCTTATCCTTTTTTTCTTTACTCTTTGATTTTTCATCTTTCTTAATCGATTTCTTACTATTAACTACATCAATATCACAATCACGTTTCCTTTTCTTGTTACTATTATCAGCTAACCCTAAACCATTCAAAGGATTATTAGACATAATCGAGTCTTGTTCACTACTAACGAAACTCGAGCAAACTCCCATACTAAAACTAGGTCGTTCATCACTCTCAGCATTCATCTTATTACAACCCGCTAGAGAGAAAGTAAGTTTGCGTATTAATTTGGGAATAAATGGATTACTTACAGAAAGGTTTTAAAGACTTACATAGACCAGTATTCGCAATTCCTGATAATTTTAATCCTTTCATTTTTTGGGCAAAATATTCATGAGTACTCATTTCATTAACATTAGTCACTATATCACCTTTCCTTATACTTTTTACAGTATTATTGTTCTGATCCGATTCATCAGTTTCGCTTGAAGACGCTATCGTCGTAATAGTTGTGATTACTTTATTACCTTTTAAAGACGAAGGCGCAATTGAGAGATTATTCAAATCATCAAAATTAGCTTTATTTGATTTTATACCAAAAATTTCATTTAATCTATCGGAATTTTGTATGGCAGCCTTTTTGCTTTTAAGAAATTTGGCTCGATGCCTATTTAATTGAAAGAAAAAAAAATAATGTATAGTTGTAGTAAGTAATTCGGACACGTTTTTCGAAATAAATCAAATCCTAAAATATTTAAGACCAGGAATGATTTTACTTACGCTAAACGAATTGAAGATAAACTCCCAGAATCACTAGTATTAGTTGTTGAATCATTAGTTGATGATGAGGAACTTTTATTCTTTTCTTTTCTTTTCTTTTCTTTTTTAACTTTTTTCTTTTTCTTGGATTTAACTCTTATTTCCTCATCGTTACACTCTTGTTCACTATCTTTTCCCTTCCCATCTATTTCATTTCGTCCTTGTTTTTCATTTAACCCTTTAAGTAATGAATCAAATGCGCTAGAATTATCTAACCAGTTATCAATAGTTTTTTTTGTGGCTCCAATACCAAGATTATCTTGTTTAAGTGAAAGTTTTATATGCTCTTTTGCACCATCTTCATTTACGCCTAATCCTTTTCCTGGTAACCAACCCATCTTTGATAACATCTTATAACCAAATTTATTTTGATCTATATCAACCATTTGAATGTCATAATGGAAATATATAATGGAAATTTGAGTTAAGTTAGCGAATGTATTTTGACGAAAACTGATACGAAGATACAAATTCATTAAAAGAGAAATTACCATTACTCCATGCTAAGTTTCTAGGGTCAGCGGATATCCTTTGTTTTATTCTTGGTTCCGCTAAACCCATCCTTTAAAACTTTTAATTTTTTGAAACCTGGTAAGGGAAGAACGTTTCAATGATTTCTGAAATCAAATAAAAAAATTTTTTAATTTTTCATCAGTCACGTGAATGCGTACTACTTATTAATTTGGGGCCTAACCGAAAAAAGTCATATCTAATTTTATTAAATGATGTGCGTCTTTTAGAACCATCTTGTAAAAATGTACAATGAACATAAGCAACACGATATGTCTCGTTCATGACATTAAGATTGGAAGTCAGACGAATTTCCAGAAGAATTATCATTGAAACGATCCTATCTTTTCTTTTGGCTTTTAAGCCTGAGTGTAACTTTTTAATGTTACAAGAAAAAGCTTGGAGGCTTGGGAAAAAAATTTCCTCGGCATACATTCTCGCCAAAGATTGGATTTTACAAATTCACATATGACGGTGGTTTGAAAAATTCTTGCGTCCAAATATTTTTACAGGCTATGATATGCCAAATTATTATTGCTGATTTGATTCGTTAACAATAAAAATATTTGATACATTTGATACAACGAAAAATGGAAAAATAAAAAAAAAGAAAGTTGTAATGATAAGAGATAAGAAAATTGCTTGTTTCAGAAAGAATATTAGATGAAAATGTCACCATTATATGATCATGTAAAACAGTAAGATAGTCGGAAATCTTTTTTCACTTTAAATGCTAGTAATTCGATCAAATGTTAATGATGTAGATGATGCAAATGATTTTGAATAAATTTAGAAATTTCTTATTATAAAATCTCATCACTTATCTATAATAAGTAACTTGTTAAAAAATAATTTTTTTAAAAAAGAAAATGAACTTTGAGATCGATAATTTTCATGGGACAAGCTAAAAATCATTTAAAAAAATTTTTTTTTTACAGTTTCGGAATAATGTACTACCGATCCAATGAGATTTTATAAACAGTTTGTGGGAAACAATTGCGTAATCGCAAAGATTGTTTCATTTCGCTTTCTCTTTTCTAAATTCAACCATAGTTTGTAATGGGAAGGATTATTAGAAATTTAACGAGAACTTCATTTAAATCTGATGTACATATTAATCATCATGTTTTCTTAAATTATCTAACAATACGATCACGTACGAAAAATCCTAATAACGTTCGCTCATTGACAAATAAAACAACAATTATTGAAGATAATAATTATAAAGGACTTTACTATCATCCAACACGTGATAAAACCGATTACTTCTTATCATTCCTTGCCGATAATGACAAAATCAATAAATTTTTTGACATAACAGTAATAGGAAGTATTCCTTTTAAGTCAGAAGTTGCGGATAATAACATACCCCAAATTATCCCACATAATTTTAATGAAAATAAAAAATTTACACAAATTCTTCATCAAGTTATCGCTGAGAATGTTTACTCCGATGTACAGTTACAAGCTTTAGCGAAATATCATCAGAATGGGTAAGTTTGAAATTCGAGAAAAAAATTATTTTAAATCATACGACAATTTTTTTTTTGTTTCAAGGATAGTGTGATTATGCTAACAAGATAAGTTCATTTTGATTTGATAAGATGGCTTCATGTGGCAGGTACGTTCGATCTCATGATCACTGCATACTTCCATTTTATAACTCATTCAACATCTTTACTTGGGTGTATAGATGCAAGAGACCCAGCACCTTGGGGACGAATACCGTACCCCGAAGACATTTTTGGTATGATTCAAGTAATAGATGGGAAAATCGTTCACGGTTCCTATCAGCCTATGCCAACCCATCGTATAGTTACTGCAAAAGGGCTCTTCGTATTAAATGATCCCTTACAAGAAAAATTATTAGAAAAGATGAAAAAGTTATGTATTTAATAATGCGCAGCAATAAATCAATTAAATCATGATGAATTGTGGAGCATAATAAATTAATAAATTGGTCCTACATTTACATCACGTGTAACATTAAAAATGGAAGGCCTCACCCAATTGATTTAAATGATTTGGTAGTTCAAATTAAGCCATATGTCATGTTGAGTTTAATTATGGCGCCTTGGCCGTTTTATGGCTGTTGCGCAAAAAAAAAATACACAAACAAATAAAAGGGTTAAATTAGATTTAAAAAACAAACAATAACTAATTTAACATTTTGGATGGGGTTGGATAATAATAATAAAAAGATGAGGTAAAAAATCCAATATGGTTTCAAAATCAATAATTCAACCGTTACAACGTTTTTATAACACCTTCGTGACGTATAATCATTTTTAATCGGCGTCTGGAAAATTTAGGTTCGAAATCATTTAAAACTAAAATTAAGCTTAAGCTTTTTTTGCTTTTTTTAAATTTAAACTATTTTTTTTTAGTAATTATTCTAAATTTTAAATTCTAATCTATTTTAAAATTTCAAGTTTGAATTGATTTCTTGTTTCTATTAAAATCTTTTAATAATTATTTTGCTTCAATATATATCATCATTATTATTTGATATGCATTATGTATATCTTATTTTATCTTTAAATTCTTAAATTCTTATCTCAATTCTTATTCCAAATTTGACATAACTATATTATTGTAATAAAATTAATTCATTTAAATTAATTATTAAATTATTAACTGTTTAATTAGATGATATTAATTAATTTTACAAAAATATCGAGATGAATGCACATAATTTTTTTTGTTTGGGATTGTTGATCATCGATACATTTTAAGATAATCCGGATTATTTTTTTTTCTAAAAAAAAAAAGGATAAGGATAGGGTGGCTTATTTTTTTTGGAGTATGATAGCATATTGTCAAAAAAAGGTTTTAATTCATCGTCGATCAACCATCGAAAAAAAAAAAGGTACACCCAGAGTATTCTGACCTTACAGGGTTGGCGCAGTTACTTTCTTGAAGTTCCTTTTTGCCCCAATAAAAAAGAATTTGGTTATCAAGATTGTCGATAGATGTCAACATTTTTCAATTATGCACGTACACATCGATGATACGAATATAAACAGTTGTCAAACCACACAAACATATACAATTAATTCAACCGAGGAAAATATTAAGCAATTGGGCGTTTGAGTAACATGTATTGATCGTGACAAAAAAAAAAAACTTATATAAATTCATATTTTCTTTTTTTTCTTTTTTTTTTTCCTCTCTTCTCACTAGAGAGAGGTGTATTTAACGGTTCTTTCTATTTTGTCCATTTTTTTTTTTTACATTAACCTTATTTCCAAATATGGATTTTGGAGTAACATTTTAATCTCTGTTGATATATTTATATTGTTCAGAGTAACTAGAATTTGTTAGTATAAAGTAAAAAAAATGAGGGTTTCGAATAACTTTTTTGTCAAAAAAAATGAAATCAGGTTTTTTTAAATTACTTGTGAATATCTGACGTATACAACGATCATCCCGCTTAAATCCCGTTTTGGTATTTTGTGTATAAATGAACAGGTTGAAACGGTGAAACTCGAGAATTCAAAAAAAGGGAATTTTCTCTATTTTTTTTTTTTCTCATAGTATACACTGTTTTAAGGTCGTACACAAAAGCTATTCATCACTTTTTTTTTTTCGATAGAAACAAATCCCCCCAAAAAATTTTCATATAAATATTCATTTTTTATGTCTTTCATAAATTCAAAAAAAAAATTTTTTTTTCTATCATTTACAATTTACACTTCAAAAACACCGACAGTTCAAAAAAATTATTTAGCTGTATCCCTGGTTCGGAATTTTTCAATTCTAATATATATATATACAGTCTGACGGTGTAGGAAGGAAATAATAACAGTAATAATAATAATACGTTAATAGATATTTCATTCACTTTCTCTTAAATAAATATCAAGTCTTACACACAACTCTTCTTTAAAACAACACTTTCGCACGTACGATATAAAGATATCGTCAATAACATGGTACATTATAATAACTATACACGAAACTTTCGCTTCAACCATCCGCCAGATAAGGACGTTCTTGTTGGCAAGAGTGCCGACGAAAATGAGAAACGTTCGGGCGGTGCAGGAGAACCGCCCATAATATCTAAACTACCAAAAGAAGATTCTCTCACAAAAGAAATATTGTTACTCTATCAGGTAGTTGTCTCTCTATAAACTGTTAATACAACAACAAAAAAAAAAATAAATAAATAAATTTTGCAACGTTCATTACGTGAATGGTTGATTTCGTAATATTTTTAACAATTTTTTTTTTGTTCAATTTATATTCTTCCTGCACAAATAAAAGTCACTGCTTCCAACAAAAGATTCGGATTATAAACGAAAAGATTTCGCTGATAAAATTGAAAAATTACTAAACGAGGAATGGCCGGGACATGACATTAAAGTACATATGTTTGGGTAATTATTATCTTGTGCATTTTTTCTTTTTTTTTATAAAAAAAAAAAAAGGTCTCGTACCTTTCTTTCCATAAAGTTAACAAATGGCATTTTTCTTTATTATTATAAACTTTCTTAAGTTCCTCCATGAATCTACTAGGAACAACACAGTCTGATGTTGATTTATGCGTTACAACACAATGGAATGGATTAAGGGGTATAATTAATTTATCCAAATGCCTGAAAAATCGTGAGTTCTTCATAACTTTATAGTATAAAATTTCATCGCTTAAAAACGAAATATTTTTAAATTCACATAAACAAACTTCTCCTTATTCATCTCATCTCTTTTATTTTAATAAAGGCGGCATGGAGATATTACAATGCGTGCCAAAAGCCAAAGTGCCGATAGTGAGGCTATGGGATCCAAGCCTGTAAAGATCATAACTGATTTTGATAATTGATCAATATTTATATATCTCTTCGCTAATTTAACCGGATAATTAATTTCTGACTCTTATCATTTTTCCGTTAGACATCTGGCCTGTGATATAAATATCAATAATACATTAGCATTGCATAACACACGTCTAATACGGAATTATGTGACAATCGATACAAGAGTACGACCATTAGCAATGATCGTAAAACACTGGGCACGAAAACGGGTTTTGAATGATGCAGGTGAATTTGAATTCTCGGTTTAAATCATTTAATAATTTTTATACTGATTCGTTATATTTGATATTAGCTAAGGGTGGTACGATCTCAACTTACACCTGGACCTGCATAGTTTTGAATTTCCTCCAAATGCGAAATCCTCCGATACTACCGGTTCTTCACAGTATGCCACATGATGATGTTGAGCCAATAATCGTAAACGGCGAAGATGCATCATTTTACGAAAATGTGGAGAATTTAAAAGAATTTGGTTCAAAAAATAAAGAATCAGTAGGTGGATTATTGTTTGGGTTTTTTAGACGGTAAGCATAATGATGTCATATCATTTTATTTTATGATGAATAAATTGTAACGGAATATTTTTTTTTTTAGCATGGCTTATGAATTTGACTATGAGAAACACGTAATATCGTTGCGTCATGGCAAATATCTTACAAAAACGGAAAAAGGTTGGGACACGTGTAAAGGTTGGAAAATGTTATGTGTCGAAGAACCCTTTAATACGACAAGAAATCTTGGAAACAGTGCTGACGACATCAGCGTAGAGGGGTTAAAGGGAGAGTTCCAAAGGGCCTATAAGATTCTTTATGACAGTGCCAACTTAAATACGTTATGCGAACAATACATTTCCACCCATCATTATAATAATAATAACTATTATTATAATCGTTATAAGAATAACTGTGCATGGAAGCCTAATAATCGAAAACCTGGATATATTCATGTTAAGTACCATCAGAATGGTCATCAGGGCGGGCGGGCGTATAATGAGTGTGACACGATCGACAATTTTCAGGATATGAATGGGAAAAGTGCCTACCCTCAAGAAGCTCAATATAATGAGGAAGATGAATCTAACACCCCTAATACGTCGAGATTTGTTCAAGCTGATGATATTCCTTCATCGAGAAAGGATGTTCTTTGTCCAACAATTAATGGTGAAGATTTTATCCCAACATCGGAAACAATGCACGTGGATACAAAGCGTATGAATGGCTACAATGAGAACATTGATGTTGACAGATTTAGTGCTTATCAAACAAAAAAATTCGTTTCTGAGAATGATATTTATCCAAACAGACGAGAACGCACTGCTCTTCCCGAAAAAATCGGTGATGAAAGTTCATTTGCATCTCTGACGACGACAACACACGATATTTCTCAATTTCGTCATGATGTAACATCTTCGGAGTCGAAAAATGATGAGCAATTTTCTTTCAGGGGTCCTTCAGCAAGACAATTCAATTACAATAGGCAAGGTCCTATGAAGAAAAAGAATGACAAACGACTTTCACAAACAAGGCCTATCAATGACGATCATAATTTTTCCCGTATTTCTGTTCATGATTCAGTTCCGTCAAATTCTGCTCATAAGTCAAATCAGAATATTGAAACTGAAGAATCGACAAAACGTTTTTATTACGCTAACCCGACCTTTTACAAGCATCACAACCAAAAATCCGACTTTATCTCAAATCAGAAGAATTCTCGAACACAATGCAGTTCAAGATCTAATTTTTCGCAAAATTCGGATCCATCCTATAATTCGGATGTTAAATATAATAATAATAATGGTTATTCAAATTATTCACGTCGTTCGAATACTCCTAACGATTCAGATCAAAAGAATTTTTCCGCGCATAATTCAAATTTTTCTTATGATTCGGATAGGAGAAATTTTTATAATAAGAATCACAAGCAAAAACAAATTGAGGAATTAACAAGCTCGAGTCCAGTAATTTCTTTTGAAGATTCATCATCGAATTCGAATTTTGACAATAATATTCGCTTAAATCCTGTTCAAGTTTCGAGTCCGAAAACTGTTTATAAGTCTCAAGGATCAAACAATTACAAGAATGTTCGTAAGAATTTGCAAAATAACTTGAAATCGTCACAGAAGTCCGCCGAGAATTTCGAATTTAACAATAATTATCCGCTTAATAATTATTCTACGTCAACATCACGTAATAACAGTAGTAACAATAACGGGTTAAAAGTATCAACGAGATTCAACGATTCAGTATATTCTGATGCAAGCAACGGTAATGGTTTCTTGTCACCACAAAACTCTATTTCACAGCAGCAGCCTTTCCAGAATCAACTTGAACAATCTAATGATGGACCTGATTACCAAAGACGAATGTCACATCAATCGTCATCTGATGGTTCAAATAGTCAATCAAGTGGTAATACTAGTAATACTAGTTATAGTAATAGTAGCAACTATTCAAAGAATTATCAACAGAAAAGTAATAACAATCAGGATAATTATCATCAACAACAAAACCTGAATAAGCCAGTATATAATAATAGTAAAAAGAAGCAGAAGAATAACCAGCAGGCGGAAAATCGTAATACTAATAATGATAATAATGGTGTTTACAGAAATTCCATGAATGGTAATTGTTATAGCAATTCTGGAAATAGATCAAATGGTAGAGATTCAGTCTTTATTAATTATGAGATAACATCCATGTCGGATCCAAATTCTCATATAAATCAAGGATATCAAGTAATGTCAAATGTTGGCAATGATAATAATTATTACACGTGTGATAACAGCGTTACTGGATACAGAGATAATGGATATAGTGACATATTAAAAGGTTGTAACTCTAATGTTGGAAAGGATTCAAATTTTTCAAAGACATCGAACGTTAATTATATTAATGGTTCAAAATTAGTGAACGGTGGCAGCCAATCTTCAATTCGAAATGTAAATGGTGGTAACTTAAACAATAATTGTTCACGTTCGTCCATTAATGAATTTCATAATTCGTATGGAAGTTGCCAACATATTCCCAAGTCCGTTGAAACCAACAATAATTTCAATGCTCAAGCGAAGCATGGCAACAATAACTATTCAATGTCACCAAAGAATGGAGGAAACATTAACAATGGCTTCACGAATGGTCAACGAATGAATCAGAACAAAAAGGGTCGCGCTAATAATAGTAATAATAACCATAATAATAATCATAATCATAACAATAACAAAAATCCTCGAAAGTATAGCACCGCTCTTAAGTCTGATAAGAAAGATGATGGTTCCAATCAACTACAGCAATCTTTACAAATACAGTCATTACCTCAAGAACGACAGATATATAATAATTGTCAACTTCTTCAACATCACAATCAACAAGAAAGTAGTCCAAGACAGAAAAACGTACAGAATGTTAATGTTAAAAAGGGAAATAAAGCTGGATCGAAAAAACAACACGGTCACAAACAAAGCTTTGAATGTCAACCACAACAATAAAATGAAGTTTGTGGAGAAATAAATGTATTGTATAATTACGAGAAGTAGTAATGATCATTATAAAAAGGAGTGACAATGGATTTGATGAATTCGGACTTTATTATTTTATATATGAAGGTTTTAAAAAAAAACTAATAGATTTCTTTATTCGGGGAAAAAAGATCCGTGTAATTTTTTAGCATTTTTTTTTTTCTTTATTTAGATATTAGGTTTCTTTTTTCTCTGGATAGTTGTAATATTTTTTTTATAATTCTGCATTTATATATATTTCATGGGATGGGTTTTTTTTTATTATTCTATATATTTTGTATGTAAAGTGTTTAGCACAAAAAATCAAAAAAAAAAAATCAAAAAATCACTTTTCGAAAGAAAAGTTATATATATATATAAATATAAATTTTTAATTTTGTAATATTTCACAGAGAATCATCAAATTAAGTATTTTATATATATATATATATATAATCTTTTTTATTATTATTTAATTGAGTGAATGGCATTTTTAATGAATAGTTGTAATGATGATGTTTAAGGGAAGGGAAAGGAAATGGAGGGAAGAAGCTAATGGATGTCGAGTGATTTGAATTTATACATCTATATTTATTTATTTAATAATTAGTAGTAATATTGGTTTGATTTATTTATATTTATAGTTCAGCTATCAGATATTTTCTTATTTTTCCCTTTTTTTTATTTTTATTTTTTTTTTATTACACATGTAACAACAACCCATCCCATTTTTTTTATGATTTTCTTTTATATTAATTTTATGTATGATATAGAAATTTTAACATTGATTTTTTTTCCCCGAGATTTATATCTTATAGAAACTTTTTTGTAAATATATTTTTTTATATATAAAGAACTTTTTAATAATGTCGTTGGCACAGCAAATAAATTCTTTTTATTTTTAATGGTAAATTTTATTGGTCAATCGTTTGAAGTTTTCCATAGAAAAAAAATATATCGGCCTATATCTCATTCTTAATTCTTAATGCTGAAACTTGTCTTGTCTTTCAATTTCTTGAGCTGAGCTTCCCGATTTTGATAATTTTATTATCACCACCATCACCGCCTTGCGTCTCTAGTGTCAAGCAAAAGAAGTCCTTGAGCAAAAACAGATCGGTGTCAACCACATCATATACAAAATTCGCAGTTCTTTTCGATGATACGAGCTTCAATCGCGAGCTTTTACCGATAAGAATGTCAAACAGACGAAAAGCAATGGCATTATACAACAAGCGACAATGCTTAAAAATAAATTCAATCGAACACCGCTAGAATAGATGTGTCCCACCCATTTTCAGAAGCGATTATTATTGCGATATTTGGGCTTGCAAATTTACATTAGAGTTGTCGTTATCCTTGCAATTAAAATCTTTATATCAAGTCTAGCAGAACCCAATTTTGGATCGAGGTCCAATTTATTAACTCAAACTTTCTTCCGATAGATGCTCGTCCCCGTAAGAATACAATGAACAAACATCCAAATGGGTTCTATCAAACCTCAAAAAGATTTTCAAAATCATTCAATATATTTTACCTTTTCCTATGTTCTACCAAATCCCGAGAATTCTACTTTGACATGAACGAATATTACCTTCTTGTATCGATTATATACAGCTTCAACGAAATCAAGTTTTTTTTAAAAAAATTACCTGTTAATATCAGCTAAAAAAAAAAAGTAGTATTGGAAAATAAATATTATATGGGAGGTTTGCTAGGAAAATGGGGCTTTGAGCATTTTTTTATTAAAATTTTAATTTTTATTGCATTTTAATCTAACATTATCAAAAATTAAAATGCAATAAAAAATTAAAAAATTCTAACCTCCCCATATATTGATGTAACTAATCGAAGAATTCAATTTTCAGTTAGCTTTGATATATATTAACTTTTTTCGCCATTTTTATTGCATATTGCATATGCATATAATTTTAAATTTGTGATAATCATTTATTTTGATTGGTACCCCCCCTGACAAAGCTAAGGTAATTCATCAATAAAATTTTTGATTAATTAAATTGATCGACATGTCGATTTACCGTAACTATGTCGATCAATTTAAATATTTTAAATAAAAAAAATACATTGTATACCGGCACATTAATAATCAATAAAATCAATAAACCTTACTTTTGTTTTAAATAACTTATTGATTGAAACATTTAAATGAGATGTTAATCCTTCAAGAATAATAGCAATGTTAGTACTTTTTTCACCAAACACCTTTTAACAGAATCAATAATATGGGAGCTTTGCTATTAAAAGTGGGTTCCGAGACTATAAATTGATTTTGAGTTAAATGATGATCAAAAAATA